TCCTTCCGTAGGCAGGACGCTGACCCAAGGGTGGTAGCGAATACAACCAGGAGTTAATTCACTCCAACCAAACAGAAATAAAATGTAAAAACCCATGAAAACTTAGTTTTTCAGCATAAATAATTTATAAAATATAAATATCGAGCCATCTAGAGAGGGTTGGGGTTGAAGATTTGACAAAACATGTATACAAGTAACGCACTTTATAAGAATCCCAATGAGTGCCCCCCCCCCCTTTCCCCACTCAAGGTTTGCAATCGCATATTTTTGTCACGCCCCTGAATTATATTAATAGTCTAATGACCCATCCGCTTTCACACCGCAGATTTATTTCACCAACAATTTTAGAAAAATAAAAGAAAATATTACGAACCAAACGCACTTGCCATATTTTTTTAATTTTTTTTAGGAATCTTACTAAGCGCAGTGGGGCTGAAAATGTGTTGTCCTCGGCAACGAGTCAATTTGTCAAGTTTCAGCTCGATAGCTTGACTAGAAGTGGGTCAATTATCCGTCAGAAGATTTTGCCACCCAGCCAGTCAGTCAGCCAGCCACAAACATAAGCGAAGTTAATATTAAGGATTTATAAAGGGTGGAATCTCCCCCCCCCCCAACCCAACGAACACAAACCAACCTGGACACGCACAATTTCGCCATGCATTTATTCTTCTTCTTCTTCTTCTTCTTCTATATCCTAAGGGCCCACGATCAATTTATTGATCATTTTGGCTCCTATGCATGTAGATGGGATTTGCAATGTTTCTGTTACTGGTGGTGATGAGGAAATTATGCACTAGGGGTTTGAAGGCTTGAGGCAATAGACACAAATGTGTCTAGTGTTGTCGCCTCAACTGTTCCTTTTGAAAGATGGTTCCAGTCCCTGATTGTCTTGGGCAGGAATGAGCAGCTCCTATACTGGCTTCTTGCTGGTATGAGCCTGAATTGCCTGTCATGGCCTCGTCGCTGTCTATGGGGGAGAGGGACGAGTTTCTGTTTAATACTGGAACAGTGGACCAGCCCATTATTATTCTAAGTCACTTGTAGAACACAACCAATACGAGGCTAACCTGTCGCCTGTAGAACAGAACCAATACGAGGCTAACCTGTCGCCTGTAGAACAGAACCAATACGAGGCTAACCTGTCGCTTGTAGAACAGAACCAATACGAGGCTGACCTGTCGCCTGTAGAACAGAACCGATACGAGGCTAACCTGTCTCTTGTAGAACACAAAGGTATGCAGGTCTTTGTTTGCGAGACTCTTGCAGTAGAATTTTCAAATAAAATTAACCATAACACCAACACCCACCTTTCAAAATAATGTTTAAAAAAATGAAGGATTGAAAATTGGTGCTTGATACAATCGCAAAACACCAATAATTGTATACGGAATGATAATGAATTATATAATTGAGATCTAATATACCTTAGACGGACGATCGGAAGAGGTTGCTGTCCATGCGCGTTTGTCAAAACATTCTCTTCTCGTGTTTCTTTTAGGGCAGAGACAATATTTGTAAAATGTGTCAGCTCCTCTTGCTGGTTTCACTCTTAGAAAACGATTCTGTTGTTAAATTTAACGGGTAGTTAGAATTATGAGTGTACTATGGCTGGGGTAGTTAGAATTACAGGTCTACTATGGCTGGGGGTAGTTAGAATTACAGGTCTACTATGGCTGGGGGTAGTTAGAATTACAAGTCTACTATGGCTGGGGGTAGTTAGAATTACAAGTCTACTATGGCTGGGGGTAGTTAGATTTACAAGTCTACTATGGCTTGGGGTAGTTAGATTTACAAGTCTACTATGGTTGGGGGTAGTTAGAATTACAAGTCAACTATGGCTGGGGGTAGTTAGAATTACAAGTCTACTATGGCTGGGGGTAGTTAGAATTACGAGTCTACTATGGCTAGGGGGGGGGTTGTTAGAATTACAAGTCTACTCTACTATGGCTGGGGGTAGTTAGAATAAAAACTCAACTATGGCTGGGGGTAGTTAGAATAACGAGTCTACTATGGCTGGGGGTATTTAGAATAACAAGTCTACTATGGCTGGGGGTAGTTAGTATTATGGGTGCTCTATCGCTGGGAGTCGTTAGAATTATAAGTGTACTATGGCTGGTGGTTAGTTAGAATTATGAGTGTACTATGGGGGTAATTAGAATTATGAATGTTCTATGGCTTGGGGTATTTATAAACATTGGGTTACTATGGCTGGGGGTAGTAGAATTTTGATGATGGATACTATGGCTGGGAGTAGTTAGAATTCTTGAGTTGGGAGTGGGGGGGCTGGGTTACTAAAAAAATGATTGAATGCTAACTATGTAAACAACTAGTAAGTGTAAAACAAATATTCTAAAATTTTGAAGCACTGATACAACTAATGATTTTATTGTGTATAATATTTGTATTTATTCAATGAATAATGTTTTACATACATAATTATTACAAACAAATACAGGACATTTCTTAATAATTTGTTTTAAAAAGTTACATGATTTTTTTTTTTTGGTCTGTCGTTCTATTCTGACTGGTTTGACAATCACTGAGTTTAGATTAGGAGACATTACAATGCGTGTTTAAAAAAATGTAACAAATTCACAAACTTTGGAGCTAAATCTTTCAAACAAGCTTTCAGAAACAGAATAGTAATGCAATAATATTTATTTTTAATCTGTTTTCAGGTGTTCTTTTTAGGAGCACTACAGCAGTGTGAAAATTGGAAGTTCCATTTTTTATTAGACGACATCCTTTCTAATGTTGTATTGAATCTGTTGATTGAACACTTCAGGAAAAATACGTCACATTCTTTAAATAAATTGTAGTATAGCACATACTCTCAAACAAAATGGTAATATTTCACATACTCCAAATAAAAACGGTAATATTTCACACTCTCTCAAACAAAATGGAAGTATTGCACATACTGTTAAACAAAATGGTAATATGTCACATTTTCTAAATAAATTGTAGTATTGCACATACTCTCAAACAAAATAATAATATTGCACATACTCTCAAACAAATATGGTAATATTGCACATACTCTCAAACAAAATGGTAATATTGCACATGCTCTCAAACACAATGATAATATTGCACATAGTCTCGAACAAAATGGTAACATTGCACATCCTCTCAAACAAAGTTTCAATATTGCACAAGCTTTCAAACGACAATTTCATTTTTTTTCAAACTCTTAAGATATCAAATTTTACAGTTATGATTTTTTAATAATTTTTGTATCGCACATTTTTTTAACAAAATGTAGAGTGCATTGCACATTCTCTAAAAAAAAAGTTTAGTTTATTGCACATTCTTTATAATGAGCACATGATACAAAAATTATTTATACCTTTCAGTGAACTAGTTACATGTTGACAATAAGTTTTTTTGAATTCACATAGTTTAAAAATACAAATTAAATAAATTTAAAAAAAAAGTTAAATTGTGAGCACAATATAAAAAACAAGACTTCTTTGTTTAGTTAGATCGCCATCGTACAGTTATTAAAATCTTGAAAGCAGACGCCCAGTAATGGGTTTTACGGTACAGCAGTAGACAATGTAGAAATCTGAGGTCAAACCATCTTATTTACAAAGGCTGCGGAGTCGGAGTCGTGATAAGTCGTGCTTGGGAGTCGAGTAGTCGGGAGTCGGGATTTGTAGTCAAATGTCAGAGTTGTGATTTGTGGTTAAAGAATCGAATACGAAAGCTAATTTTTAAAAGTTTTTTAAATTATTTTTTTTTTAAATTTAGCGAATTCAGAAAAGTGTAAACATTCTTAAAATTAAATGTTCGATTCCGAAAGATGAAATAATTTTGTTCGTCAGTCTTTTGCAAATAAAAATGACCCCTGGCGTGACACCAAGTGCCCAATCTGATTTTTCAAAAATATATATGTTCCCATCTCCGCAGCCCCCCCCCCCCCCCCCCCAACAAAAAAAAGGGAAAGGGGGGGGAAAAAAAAAAAAAAAAAAAAAAAAAAAAAAAAAAAAAAAAAAATTAAAAAAAAAGATTTGTTCGTCGGTGTTTTGCAAATAAAAATGACCCCTGGCGTGACACCAAGTGCCCAATTTGATTTTTCAAAAAAATATATGTTCCCAACTCCGCAGCCCCCCCCCCCCCCTGAACATAATATAGTGGAATGTGGAAGGAAATAAAAACAAAAACAAAAACATGTATAACAACAGAATACTTGTGAATAATAAGGCCATTTCAAGTGAAAACGTAACAATACATTTGGTCCTACCGTCGTGGATGTGGAATAAAAATTGAACAGCAGTTGTTTGTAACAGTTTTTTTGTTGTTTTGTTTTGGTGGGTGAAATATGAAAGAGAACGTAGCAGTTTTTGTGTTTTGAGCAACAAATAAAATGAGGGTATTCCAAAAGCCGTGAAGATGTTCTCAGTAGAGGGACATTACTGTGATTTGTCGTCCTGAAAACTGGTATGGCTAAGATTTAAGGTAGCCTATTAAAAAAAAAGTTTTAAAAAAGTATTGTGAAATACCAGCGAGGATATTTGTAACTTTATCTTTAAGAGAAGGTAAATCCAATTATCTACTTCGTGGGTTCTTAAACAATTTTTATTTTTAAAGTTGTCCCCCCCCCCCCCCACAGATTAAAAAATAAATAAATAAAAAGATTAATAGTGTACAGAAAAAGGAATTAGCATTGCTTTTGTCACAATGATGATAGACTATAAGTATTGCTTATTTAACAATGCTGATAGACTATAAGTATTGCTTGTTCAACAATGCTGATACACTATCAAAACAAAACAAATTTACATAACTTTTATCAACATTGTCTGTTAACTGAAAATAATTTTTTTAAAGTGAAAATCAGCAAATAAATTTTGTTATCACTAACAGATTACAAAAGGTAAGTGTCATTGACATTCTTTCAGTTGAGGTTGGCATTAATGACACATGTGGTTTAGGAAGTCTTAGGTTTTTTTTAATGCCGGTTGCGGTACTGATGGATGAGACAGTTAAAGATACAATTAAAACGTCCTGGATGCCGGCAGCTGCAGCAAGATCACCTGTCTGTTTTCCGTGGGGTGACATTTGTTGATGTGCCTGGTCAGCCCCGGAGAACTGTGGAACATACTAGTGCAGTACTTACAGGAGAACGTCTCCGTCACATGGGTCGAGCGCACGTGCTTGTCCAGGGCGCACTTGCTGCTGAAGGTCATCCCGCACGTGCTGCAGGCCAGGCTGGGTGGCAGGCCGTGGCAGGACGTCTCGTGCTTCAAACGCGACGTGTCGCTGGAGAAGCCCTTACCGCACACCGCGCAGCCGAATGCGTCCTGGCCTTGGCCCTGATGTCCGCCATGTTTCATGGCCACATTGTCGGATTTCATGCCGTTGTCCTTCAGCGTGATGTAATCGTGGGGTTTTTCAAACGTCTTTTTCGTGTTCCCACTGTGCTGGGTCTGGATGTGTTTCCTTAGGTAAGCGTGTCTTTGGAATTTTTTGCCGCATAGCGCGCACTCTACGTTGGTTGTGTTCTGAGATGGAACGGCGTTGTTGGGTTTGTTTCGATTGCCGCACGGGTCTTTGGTGGGTATCAAATTCATCGGCGAGGTCGATTTGTATGCGTCTAGATATTTGGCGCATTCGTTTTGAGCACCGAGGCACAAGGCCGGATCGTTGGACAATTTTTGATTCTCTTTCGGCAGTAGCTGATCGTGTGTTTTGATAGGCTGCTCTGGCTGGCATCGACTGTCCGTGACCAAGGGCGTCATGACAGTGGACGTCGATGTGATGGTGGTGGTTTGGTACTGGCGGTTGTGAGTGCTCAGCACCTGAAGAACCAGGGAACGTTCCTCGGGCGTAAGCGAGCTGCCGAAGGTGGTGGGATGAAGGGGATTGGTGGCGATGACTGTGTTATTTCTCGAAGGAGCCGACACCGACACGCTTGCAGGGGGAGAACAGCGGGGATTTTTTGAAGCCTCCTCGCTCTCGAATTTTCCGATTGTCTTAAAATTTGACGAGTTACCGTCACCCGCCGAGAGCGAGTTGGCCGCCTCTGATTTTATGGACGCCAGATACCTGAAGGGTGGCTTCAGTGTGTCGTGCTCCGTGTGAGACGCTTGCTCGTGGTACTTACGGGGTATACCCGAAGACTGGCTGTCGTCACTCGTTCCTTCGTGATCAGAAGCCGGCGCGCTCTTAATGAAGACGTCGCCACAGGCCTGGACGGACGAACCGGTCAGGTGGGTCTGATCGGAAGGAGGCGGGGTGGGTGTAGGAGACGCCAACGTCGATTTGTCGGTGTTGGAGTCGGGTCTCGGGGCGATCTTTGGATTCGAGGACAAAAGTTTGGAGGGGTTGCCACTGGGCAGCTTCGTCGGGCCGCTCGCCCTAGGTTTGTGCCACCGCCTGTGGCTGGCGAGGTTGGCCGGGCAGTTGAAGACTTTCTCACACTCAGGGCACCTGTACTCAACATGGATTATACGGGAACATCTGGGAACATAAGGAATCAAATATATTTATAATGAAGAAATTTAATCCAGTAATAAACACACGATTGTGTTTGATGTTGACCTTTCAGACCTCATCATAGCTTGTATATTTATGACCATTCAAAGCCAGCGAATTTACTAATACCCATTAAAAAAATTAATAAATGAAAATGTGTTGCATTTATTGCAGTTTTGTGTTTTTTTAATTTTTATTTTAAAGTACGTCTTAAATATTGTAATTTTTGACAATAGAAAATTGTTCAAGTGCCTGTATAATAAGTCTTATAAATAGTCAAGAGCAAACTTCTAGATAAGCAGTAATCGTAAATTACAGTGTTTTTTTTTAGGTAACCTGTTAATATGTTGACCTATTGACTGATCAATGAAATGGCGTTATTAAACTTGACGGCCTACTCCGGCAATGACCATATCCAATGACATGAATTGACCTACCTGTGCTGTGCCAGCTGGAAAGCGTCCTCGTAGAACTCCTTACACAGCTGACAGATGTAGTCGCCGATCTTGTTGTCGATCTTCTCCAGCTCCGCCCTGGCTTCGGGGGTGACCTCCACAAAATTGAAGCTCGGCTCAATGTCTCCATACACCACCTTGCCGTCCTCCTGTTGATGGATTTCAGGGTTTGGGGCGGGGGGGGGGGGGGGGGTGGGGGTGGGGTGGGGGTGTGTGGGTGAGGTGGGGGTGTGTGATCAATATAATCAATATTGATGACTGAGGCGTCAGAAAACAAGATTTTTAAAGTGAACTTTGAAAGCACAGAATATAGAAGCTATAAATAAATGAGATGATTTCTTCGCGTGTGTGTTTGTTTGTTTAGTAGTTGAGGAGCGGTGGTGGGGAGATTTTGGGGTGGGAGCTTGTCGTCCAGAACGCTCCGAATGTTGTGAAAGTATCTATACATTTTAAGCCCGTAATTTTGTTCATTTATTCTTGTTATTTTAAAATTCAACTACGAGAGACAAAAGATCATGGAGCTGATGTGTTGTGGAATTTTCCAAAGAGCATCAATGCTGGTCATCTTTGATTATCCATGTCCTCTATGTTATCTTTTATCTACATATAAATAGATGCCGCATTTAGGTATTTAAGAAACCCTTGGATCCAAGCAATGAATAATTTGTTTAAACCTGTGCTCAGCTTCTTTCATTTGGATTGGTAACAAACACCCCCAGACGTTTTACAAGCAACCACACCCTGTTTTCATTAATTTGACAAGTTTGGAATTATCACTACACTTTTGTTAAACTCTCCGTTAAACTGGAACGACTGCTTAATGCTGCACACGTGTTTGAATTATAAACCAACAATTCCTCCTTAAAATTCTGCTCTAAACTAAGCTGAGTTGCATAACTTCAGCGCGGTCAGCTCTCTGTAAGCCAGATACTTGATTAGCAGTTAACGCCGTGATTACCACAGCCAAAAAAAAAAACAAACTGGACTACGGCCACATCGACCACACACAAGGGTAATAAAAACAAGTTGTTAAAAGGAAAACAAAAAAACTTACCGGATGGAAGTCCGCGGCATCTTTGATGATAGTTCCGGACACGGGGGAGGTGGTGTCGATGTCGAAGTTCAGCCTCCTCACCGCTTTCAGCCTTTTGCCGGTGTGTGCCGAGGAGTTGGGCTTCTTGGGGGGCGCTGCCGTCTTCGACGCTTGCTGACCGGCGTCCTTGACCTTCGGTGTTGTCATGTTGGCCGAAAGGCTACTACTACTCCCGGTCTTCATGGGTGGCGCTGACTTTGAGAGATCTTTGATTTGTGGGTCGGTGCTAGTGTCGTCCGAGTCTTCCGAAATGAGTCGTTTTCTGCTCGGGCTGTTTAAAGGGGAGGCTGCTTCATGAGTGGCTGGCCTGGCGCTGAGATCATTTCCGGTCTTGAAAATTGTCGTCGCCGTTAGCTGTTGAGGGGTAGGTGACTGAGTCTGTTGTGGTTTTTGATCTGTGGTCGGCGTTCTTTTGCCCGAACTTGCCGGCTTCGGTAGCCGTAGAGGCTGGCTGAGGGTTGTAATGTGGCCGGAATGCGAGTGATGTCGCGAGTGCTGATCGACGTAAGCCGACGCCACGGATGCATCCTCCGGCGGGTCTGAGTTGATTGAGCACCCGTACAGAGGCGGATACATCGAACTGACCCACGGGTCCGGGCATGACAGGGGGTAGTTGTAGGCGTTGATGGAGGGGGACAGTGGGGAAATTCGGGTAGCCAGGGGTTTCTCGGCTGATTCGCCCAGGTAAACTTTGTTGAACGTGTTGAAATACATCACGGGGGCAGACGCGAGGGTCACCTGGACCGGATTGTGAGGGGACAGAGGCGGTGGCTCAAGGTGGCGATATGTCAGGTAGGGCCGCTGAAAGCAGGTCGGACTCTCCCTGTATTTGGTTACCGGAAGCGGAGATGCGGCCGATTTCTTCCTGCTGGGCATGCTCAGATCGATGGGCGTGTCCAGCACATCGTCCTCCATGTTATCGACATGCCCACTTTTCTCCATCATGACGCTGCTGTGGACAGCGCGTTGGCCGGGGCCGTCGTAGCGGTTTACGTAACCGGTGACTTTGGGAACCGCTGCCTTGCCGCTGCTGCTGTTCTTGATTTCCCTATCCAACCCTAGGATATTCTCCTTCTCCCGCACGAATCCCAAGTGTCCGCTGTTGGGGCTCGCGGCGTAGCCCGAATCCGGGGAGCCGTAAGCGCCGTACTCACTCACGGCGTCAACATCGCGGATGATGATGTGCTTGTCGGTGTCTATTATGGTCGTGGTGGTGCCGGGAAAAGTGTCTATGCCATTCTGTTGCTGCTGGGGGGCGCGGTCTCTGTATGAAAACGACGAAGGGCAGTGCTTGTGTCGTTTAACCAGGAAGTGACGCGGCATGGTCACACAAAAAAAAGGGAAATAACGCTGATTTTGATTTACGAGCTCACTTCGGTGGCGTCCCTTTGATACTGTTGATTTTTTATTGTGCACCACAAACAAAGTATTGAATCAAAATCTCTGTAAATTTCAGTGCTGATCGAAACTTTAAATATTGATTTTCATAGCGATTGCTACAGCGATTTTTAACTTTATATTGCACGGATAATGCCATAAAATGTAAATAATTTTTTATTGTTGTATAAACTATTGCAATCCTTATTAGATAAGCTCCATAAAATGTATTATAAAAGGCACGTAGTCAGTATTTACACATACAGATAGGAAACAAGCCACATTTCACGGCACGCAGTTTCCAACAAAAATAAAGTGGTATAACAAAATATTGCACAAATTATATAAATGAAGGCAATGTTTGAAAAACAAAAGCACTTGAAATTATAGAGCTAAAGGAAAAAAAAACTGGTAAAATATTGCACTTTGAAGAAGACAACTAGCCTGGGGCCAACGACTCCGAGATGAAGGTGCGCTGGTACTCCGGGGCTTTAGTCGTGTTAAGGCAACTGGAATGACAGCAGAAATTGGAGGAGGGGGGGGGGCGTTCTGGTGGCGAATGGGGTGGGGTGCACAGTATTTACACCAATAAATTATGGGGGAGGGAGTTCATTTTTAAACAATTAAATTTTTGTTTGCTTAAAAAAATTTTCAATTTCGCCCCAATAAATTTTGTAGGAAATTTTAATAGTTAACTTAAAAAATATATATATTTTTTTTAATAAGGCTAATCGGTGACAGGCCCTTTGAGGGTGAAATTAAGTTAAGATACAGGTTATTTTTTTTTTAAATGAAAAAGGCACATACAAATTATTGATATAAGGCACACGAAAATTATTACTTAGATAAATATTTATACATTTTAAAAAAAATTGGATATGTTACAATATTGCACTTGATTTGGCCTTTATGAAATAACTTCCGGACATGATAAAGGGATAAAATAATATATATATATATATTTATTTTTTACATAATTTACAAGGAATGATTCGGTATTTACAGTTTTTGGCCAGAGAAGCTCAGACGGCGTTGATGGCGATACGTTTCGAGTGATTTAAACACGCCCCTTTGTTTAGCAATCACGTAGCGAACATCTTTAAAAAACAACAGCCTCGGACCGAGCATCATTCAAGTTCACACTCGCGTGGAGACATTGTCTTGACCTTTGATGCTCGCGTCTGCTGTTTACATTCTTCAGAAGCAGGCACCACCACGAATGTTTTTGCTATAGCGAAAAAATGTGAAGTCTTATCACTGGGTCAAACATTTATTTGGAAGAAAACAAAAAAAAAATGACGAATCCACCGCCTGTCACGTTATTCCTCAACTGTCAGCATCCACGTTTTGGTTTCCACGTTTCATCGCAGACTTCAGATGACCACACACAGAGTAACCGGAAGCTGAAGACACCACTCCAAAGTTTAATCCGTGTCCGACATCAAAAGTAACACACTAAAAAAATTTTTTTGTTTATAAAATCGTCATTTTTTCCTACCCCTGTGTTAACAGCGAAACGTATCAAAGGAAAAAATCGTAGATCAGGCAATGAAAAGCGAAATTGAAGGCACCAGGCTGCTTCTAAGAAGTGTCCCCTTAGAAACAGAAGCGGCAGCGATGTTTCGCAGCGTGGTGCGTAAAGTACAGTCACATCACTGGCGTGCACCTCAAGTGTCACCAAACAGCTGAGCTTTGGTCTGGGGGAGAGAGTGAGTGAGCTCTCCGGGTGTGCTCCCGAACCAAACTTGTCGAAATTCACAGATGAGCACGATCTGGAAAATCTCCGTGCTTCTTATATCCGCGTGGATTTCGCCATTTAAACAGTCACACTGTCTAGAGAGCGCGTGCATTCCTCGGTTCATAAATATGCATGCATTCGCGTGTGCCCTGGTTTAGGCTCCTCCCTCGGAAAAAATCCGCCGGTCGCCGTCGCCAAGCGCGTGCCTCTGTTTCCACGCCCTCCCCTTGGCCTGGACGTCACCGTCAAATATCTCTACTTGAATGACTTCACGTGGGACACACGACGAGCGAGCGAGTTTAGGACCCCCCCCCCCCCAACCGAAGCGGGGTGGGGGAGAGGGGCCCGGGGGGATGGGGACGCCGGCCGGGGGGGGGGGG